ATTATTGGTGCGGGCTTGGTAGGTTTGGCCGCGGCAGTGGCAATGCAACAAGCAGGCTTTTCGGTTGTGCTGGTGGATGCAAGATCTCCCGCAAATGTTCAGCCAGCAAGTGACGCCTGGGATACTCGTATTTATGCGATTAGCCCTAGAAATGCTATTTGGCTACAAAATTTAGGCGTATGGCAGGGTTTAAATCCAGCGCGCATCGGGCATATGCAAAGCATGGAAATTTTTGGCGATGAAGCACAAGTGAATTTGTCAGCTGAAGATGTGAATGCCGATGACTTAGGTTTTATTGTGGAGGCTGGTGCATTAAGTCAGGCCATGCTTTCACAGGTAAAAAAATTAGAAATTCGCACCTTGTTTAATGCAGCTTGCAAAGATATTCAGACATTTGAAAGTAGCACAGCGCTCACGCTTGAGAATGACCAAACCATCGTAAGCACCTTGCTTATAGCCGCTGATAGTAGCCAATCTTGGGTGAGAAAACAGCTCAATTTTCCCTTGCAACATAAATCATATGAGCAATCAGCGGTAGTGGCTAATTTCAAAGTTGAAAAGACGCACAACAATATTGCGCGGCAATGGTTTTCAACCCTTGAAGGCAAAAACAGTATATTGGCTTGGTTGCCTTTGCCTAATAACACCATCAGCATTGTGTGGTCAGTGTCAACCAAGATGGCAGAAAGTTTGTTATTGCTCGGTGACGAAGCGTTTACAGCGCAAGTGCAGGTAGCGGGTGATAGTTTATTAGGCAATTTAAAACTTTTAGGTAAACGTGCAGCTTTTCCGTTAGTGATGCAAAAAGCCAGTGACTATTCAAAACAAAGTGTGGTATTTATGGGTGATGCGGCTCATAAAATTCACCCGATGGCGGGCCAAGGCGTGAATTTGGGTTTTAGAGATGTGATGGATTTTATGGCGGTTTTAAGCCTTAAAAATCCTTACCAAGCCATTAACGATGTGACTTTACTAAATCGCTATATGCGCAAACGTAAGGTAGATATGCTTAATATGTTGTTACTTACCGATGGTTTGTATCAACTATTTGAAAATCAAAATAGTGTGGTAAAAAAAGTAAGGCATTGGGGGTTGAGTGCGACTAACTACAAGGTGATTAAAAAAATGTTGGTTGAAAATGCCATTGCGCTATAAACTAGCGCGTTGAATTTATTTAGATGATAAAAAATCAAGGAATGAACATGTTAAAAAAAATATTAAGTGTTGCTTTAGTGGGAATGTCGCTTAGCGCGGTTGCAACACTTGCAATTGCGGATGAGACTGGCGTTAAAAAAGCGGTAGAAGCCGCCTACCCAAAATTTAAAGTAGATAAAGTCACTAAAACCCCTTTTGCAGGTTTGTACGAAGTATTTATGGGTGGCCAAATTATCTACACCAATGAAAGCATGAGCTATATCATCGCCGAAGGTGTGTTGGTGGATACCAAAACCAAGAAAAACCTCACAGAAGAGCGCATGTCAGAGCTCACCAAAATTGACTTTAACAGCTTGCCTTTAGATAAAGCCATTAAAGTGGTAAAAGGCAACGGTAGCCGCAAATTGGTGGTGTTTTCAGATGTGGATTGCCCTTATTGCAAGCGTTTAGAGCGCAATGAGTTATCGCATATTGATAATGTCACTGTTTACACATTTTTATACCCGATTGAGCAGTTGCACCCAGACGCTGCCAATAAATCTAAGTTGATTTGGTGCGCTAAAGACCGGGTAAAAGCGTGGGATGATTGGATTATGCGCGACATATTGCCAACAACTTCTGGCAGTTGCGATGTGCCATTAGAAAAAGTAGGTGAACTTGCCAGAAAAGTAGGTGCAAATAGCACGCCAACACTATTTTTTGCAGATGGAAAACGTATGTTAGGCGCGCAACCTTTTGCAGAAATTGAAAAAGCACTAGTGGCTGCTTCAGCTAAAAAATAAGCCTTTAAAACGCCCGATCGATTTTCGCTGCTCTGTAAGCCGCATGAATACTGGCTTGCAGGGCAGTGCCAATGAAGATGCCTTAAAACGAGCCAATTTTTAACGTTTTTTAGCGCTCAATTGGTAGTGTCAACTTAGCAATGACTCCGCCGTTTTTGACATTTTCTAAGCGTATACTTCCGCTATGTAATTTTGCCACTTCTTGGACAAAATTAAGCCCCAAACCGGTACTTTTTTGCCCAGCATTGGGCGTGTTTTGCGGGCGAGGCAGCGAGTAAAATTTATCAAAAACTTTATCCAGCGCATAGTCTGGAATCCCCTCACCTTGGTCTTCTACTTCTATCACAGCTGTTTTTTCATGGCTGCGGATATTGACATTAATTTTGGCATTGTTGGGGCTGAAATCTAGCGCATTTTCAAGTAAATTATAGATGGCTTGCCCGAGCAAAAAGGCCTCAGCACGCATGGTGATTGCGTTAGGTTCACACAGTTGAAATTGCACATTTCTCGCTTTGGCTTTTTCGGCTAAGTGCGCTATTTGTGTGCGCACTAATTCAGCTAAATCCAGCTGTGTGAGGTGAGTCAATTGCTGTTGATGTTCAAGTGCCGCCAAACCCAGCATGTTTTGAATAATAGTTTGTACACGGCTAGATTGGCTTTTAATTTGTGCTAAAAAACGCGCTTGGGTTTCTGGTGGCATATTGGGCGAAATGAGTTCTAGCGCGCCTTGTATGGCCGTCATCGGGCTTTTTAGCTCGTGCGTGAGGTGCTGAATGGAGTTTTGAATATGCTGTTTGCCATCTAGCTCAGTGCGCATGGTTTGCATGGCAAGCGCAAGTTCAGTGAGCTCATCATTGCTAGATAGTGGCGGGGTGGCTTTTTCGCCTTTGCTAACACGTACGGCATACTCTCGTAAGGCATTGATTTTACGAGTGAACCGCCAAGTAAACAGCGCGCCAATCACAAGTGACAAAATCAACAACAATGCGCCCCAGCGAATGATTTTAGCTTGTGCGCGCTCAATAAATGGCAATAAAGTGCGGTTAGGTTTTGCGACGGTAAGCGAGCCGATAATTTTTTTGTCATCGCGTATTGGTGCGGCAATGTACATAATGGTGTCGCTATTTTCATCATTAGCCACTACCTTGCTTGAACGTACTCCATATTGACCGCGTAGGGTTAAGTACACATCATTCCACTTTGAATAATCTTGGCCTAAAGCTAAATTAGCTGAGTCAAAAATCACCATGCCGTGAGCGTCGGTAATATATACACGGTAATCCGCCGCTTGTTTAGGCACCCCCCAGATATTTGCTTTAGAGGCGCGTGTTTGATATTGCGCTAAACTAAGGGCGAATTGGCCATTTCGAATATTACCTGTTTTAACATCTTGCGTGGCTAACTCGGCCAGTACATTGGCGGTGTCCACCAGCGTATCTTCCATAGCTTGGCGCACGCCTGGTTTAACTTCATCAACAAATACATTCAGCACAAACCAAGCAGCAAGACCGACTAAAAGGAAGTAGCCCAGAAAAATCTTTAAACTAATTTTCATAAAGTTTTAAGCCAGCAGGCTATAACCCATGCCGCGATGTGTGACGATGGCCTCGCACGCAGCATCAATGCCACGTAATTTTGCGCGCAAGGTTTTAATGTGCGCATCTACCGTGCGATCGAGCGTATTTTCCGCCTGCGCCATTGGCTTAATGCCTTACACCATTGCTAAAGCCGATAACGGTGACGCATGGGTGGAAGTGCGTGGCCAAAAAATGGCGCCGCCACAAATATCAGCAGAAGTGTTACGCAAAATGAAAAAAACCGCTGAAGACTATTTAGGTGAAGAAGTGACTGAAGCAGTGATTACTGTACCAGCTTATTTTAACGATAGCCAACGCCAAGCCACTAAAGATGCTGGCCGTATTGCGGGTTTAGATGTTAAACGCATCATCAACGAGCCAACTGCAGCTGCGTTAGCTTTTGGCTTAGACAAACAAGAAGGCGACCGTAAAATTGCCGTTTATGACTTAGGCGGCGGTACATTTGACGTGTCTATCATTGAGATTTCAAGCATTGATGGCGAGCACCAATTTGAAGTGTTATCCACCAACGGTGATACATTCTTAGGTGGTGAAGACTTTGATAACCGTTTAATTGACTTTTTGGCTGATGAGTTCAAAAAAGACAATGGCGGCATGGACTTGCGCAACGATTTATTAGCCAAACAACGCTTAAAAGAAGCCGCGGAAAAAGCAAAAATTGAGTTATCTGGCGCAACTCAAACTGAAGTTAACTTGCCTTACATTACGGCAGATGCCACTGGCCCTAAACACTTGGTGGTTAAAATCACCCGTGCAAAATTAGAAAGCTTAGTTGAAGATTTAATTGAACGCACTATGGCCCCATGCCGCACAGCAATTAAAGACGCTGGCGTAAAAATTGAAGATATTTCTGACGTGATTTTGGTTGGCGGTCAAAGCCGCATGCCAAAAGTGCAAGAAAAAGTGAAAGAAATTTTTGGTAAAGAACCACGTAAAGACGTGAACCCTGATGAAGCGGTGGCAGTAGGTGCAGCTATTCAAGGTGGTGTGTTAAAAGGTGACGTGAAAGACGTATTGTTATTAGACGTGACACCACTCAGCTTGGGCATTGAAACCTTGGGCGGCGTGATGACTAAACTTATCAAGAAAAATACGACGATTCCAACCAAAGCTTCACAAACGTTTTCAACCGCTGAAGACAACCAAAATGCGGTGACGATTCAAGTGTTGCAAGGTGAGCGTGAAATGGCTTCTGCCAATAAATCACTCGGCCAATTTAACTTGAGTGACATTCCACCAGCACCACGTGGTATGCCACAAATTGAAGTGACTTTTGATATTGATGCTAACGGTATTTTGCATGTTTCAGCAAAAGACAAAGCCACTGGCAAAGAAAATAAAATTACCATTAAAGCGAACTCTGGCTTGAGTGAAGAAGAAATCAAGAAAATGGAAGAAGACGCAGTTAAATATGCTGATGAAGATAAAAAATTGCGTGAGTTGGTAGATGCTCGCAATGCGGCTGATGGCATGGTCCACTCAGTGAAAAAATCATTAAGTGAGCATGGTGATAAGCTAGATGCAGCTGAAAAAGAGTCGATTGAAGCTGCAATTAAGGACGTTGAAGAAGCATTAAAATCTGACGACAAAGCCGCCATTGAAGCTAAAACAGAAGCATTAACTACTGCATCACAAAAATTGGGTGAAAAAGTGTATGCCGCTCAACAAGCAGAAGCCAACGCTCAAACCGCTCAACCGAGTGCTGAGGGTGAAAAAACTGTGGATGGTGACGTAGTGGATGCAGAGTTTGAAGAAGTGAAAAAAGACTAAAAGTAATACCTTAGTTACCTACAAGCAGTCGTTAGTATCCTAAAATGATACTAACGACTTTTGTACTCATAACTAATGATGATTAACTGATAACTAAGATACTTAATAACGACTAAAAATTATGGCAGCTAAAAAAGATTACTACGAAGTGCTAGGAGTGAACAAAGATGCTTCTGAAGAAGACATCAAAAAAGCTTATCGCAAATTGGCGATGAAGTATCACCCTGACCGCAACCCAGATAACCCAAAAGCAGAGGAGCAGTTTAAAGAGGCGAAAGAAGCCTACGAAATGCTTTCTGACGACCAAAAACGCGCCGCTTATGACCAATACGGCCACGCAGGCGTTGACCCAAACATGGGCGCTGGGGCTGGCGGTTTTGGAGCAGGCGGTTTTTCCGATGCTTTTGGTGATATTTTTGGTGACATTTTTGGCGGCGGACGTGGCCAAGGTGGGCAACGCAGTAATGTGTATCGCGGCGCTGATTTACGTTACAACATGGAAATCAGTTTGGAAGATGCGGCAAAAGGCACAGAAACCAAAATTCGCATCCCCGTACAAGCTAAATGCGACACTTGTGATGGCACTGGTGCTAAAAAAGGCAAGTCACTGGTGACTTGTAGCACTTGCGGTGGACACGGCCAAGTGCGTATGCAACAAGGCTTTTTTTCGGTGCAGCAAACTTGCCCAAAATGCCATGGCTCAGGCAAAATTATCAAGGAAGATGACAAATGTACTGCTTGCCACGGTGCTGGTCGCCTGAAACAAAATAAAACACTTTCTGTAAAAATCCCCGCTGGCGTGGATGAAGGCGATAGAATTCGCTTATCTGGTGAGGGTGAAGCAGGTGTCAACGGTGGGCCAACCGGCGATTTGTACGTTGTGGTGCATCTGAAAACACATGAAGTATTCCAACGTGAAGGTGGTAATTTACATTGCGAGATGCCCATTAGCTTTAGCACAGCAGCTTTGGGTGGTGAAATTGAAGTGCCTACACTCGGTGGTTCTGCGCGTATGAAAGTGCCTGCCGAAACACAAACTGGCGCAGTATTTAGATTGCGCGGTAAAGGCATTAAACCATTGCGGCAATCAGAACATGGTGACTTAATGGTGCATGTGGTGGTAGAAACACCAGTAAAACTCACCGAGCATCAAAAAGACTTACTTCGTCAGTTTGAAAAAAGCACACAGGCCGACGCAGGCAAGCACAGCCCAAAAAATAAGAGTTGGATGGATAAAGCCAGAGACTTTTTTGGTTAAGTCTTATAGTTTTATATTAGATAAATTAGTTGTTTGTTAAAGCTAAATTTTAACATAACGAATTAAGTCACAGATTTGTAACATTTATTTTTAAAGTTTTACATTTGCGTTACACCCTTGTCATCATTCAGTCATATCTGGTCGCTATACTGCAATCTCGATATTATGAAATACAAAGGAGACATAAAAATGAAACAGAAATTGATTAATACTTTGTTGGTGAGCGGTGTTGTTGCTTTATCTTTACAGGCGAATGCTACTGGTTTTAATAATACCAAGCCACAAGCAAGCGGTAAAGTAATGCAATCTAACCAATTCTACGATACTTTGGCTGCCACTAAATCTGAGCAAGTAGCGACTAAATTTGGTTTTCCAGATGAAATTTTAACGCTCAATACGCCTGCAGGTGAGCTAGAAGGCGTGGTATGGGTTTATAAAAGTG